TCCTTGAAGTTTTGTTGTATAGTTATTTAGCTTTTACATACACACACACACACACACACACACACACACACATATATATATATATAATTTTATGTAGCCTGCAAAAAAAACTCTCTAAAATAAAGTATAAAGCATTAATTGAGTCCATGCCACCATATCTTATGAGGGTTTTTTGGGGGGGCGGAGGGGGTTGAGAGGTAAAGACTATCTCTTGATTTAAAATACATTTTTAAAAGACAGAAACACCCAAAGAATTTTCAACACCAGCATTTTCCATGTAACTAATACCCAGGTACAAAACAGAAGCCTCACCTCTCACCCTTGTTCCATTCTAGTTAGTACTCACCTATAAAAGGAAGCTGATGTCCTAAATTTTAGTAGCACATATTCACCCAGACTTTTTCTGAGAGAGTAGTTAAATGTGCTCTTTCAGAAGACTCTGGTTCAGTTCCCAGCACCCACGTGGTGGTTCACAAGCAAGTGTAACTTGAGTTCTGGTGGATCCAGTGTCTTCTTCTTGTCTCCGTGTGCACCAAACATGTACATAGTGCATGCATGTAAACATATACCAACATACATACACACATGCAGAAAAGCCCTCATACACAGAAAATAAAAATAAATATAAATTTTAAAAATGGGATATGCCCTTTGAATATGCTTAACTAGATGATCCCAGTGGAAAATCCCTCTTTTGACCAGGGTGGACTCTAGTCATGACAAGTGGAGGAGATTCCACTTAGCAAATTAATCACACAGATACATTTAAAAGTCCTTGGCAGTCATTCTCAGTGTGCATGAGAATACCTGGGAAGGCTTATGGTTGGACTGACCCAGAATGTATGATTTTGTAGGTCTGGGTGGGACATAGATATTTCTATCTATGTGGGATTGATACTCCCAGCCTGGAGACTTCACTTTATTAACCATTTTCCTAGGGTATACACCTGACATCAGCATGGTAGAGAATCGGTTAAATAAGAAAACTTAACTTCATATTTTTAGTACACAGAATGAACCATGTTCCTCATACTTAGAACAATGTTAGATGCATTGCTTTCCCTTTAACAACACATTACCTCTCCAAGTTCAACCATAAGTTCACAGTATCTCTGAATTTGTCCTAATCTCAAGTGAATTTCAGCAGCTTCCTTCAGTTTTTTCTCTTTAGTAGGTGCACCAATACCATCACCAAATTTAGACATCTTGACTGTTGTTAGCTCTTGGGCTTCAGACTAAGTAGAAAGAAAAAATTTAAATGTATATATATATATATATATATGTATATGTATATATATGCACATATGAGCTGATATTTAAAAGTGTGTATTATTGGAAATACATTACTTTAAAATCTAAAATCATATCGTCTCTATAAAATATGATATATTTTTAAGCTGTCACAATTATCTTGATGCCTGAAAAGTTAACCATTGATATTTCTTTGAAAATAAATAATCCATTGTTTCTTTTGGGTAACAGGACAGGTTTTGTTGTTGATACTGAATATTATTATTTCAGACATGCGATAACTAATGATTCTGCACTCACATTCACTGAAAACTGCATAATCACTTTTAATAAAGCATATCCATGTATAGAGGCTACTCATTTCTCTGAGTCTAAAATCATAGCAGTCCATATGCCATAATCACTTTAGGTAACATTGGTGAAGAGAAAACATTTCATAGAGTTCCAAGTGAAATTGAGAGTCAATCTAGGCAAACCATGGCTGCCTTAATCTGCTTGCAAATAATTCACTGTCTCCAGATTGGTCTTACTATTTTATTCCTCAGTGTCTATTAAGCTCTCTAAAATTTTCCTACTTTAATAGTGAAAGGAAAACTTTTGCTTAAGAACATCATATTTGTGTACTTTACTTACTGTTCTAAATTTAATCAGATGTTTCAAGTGCATTATTCCCTTGCAGTAGTTTTGAGGAAGTAAGCTATCATCTTCTCCTTTTATTACAGCAACCAGGTTCCACAAATTGTCACTGCCACCTGGAGGCTAAAAAGTTGGTACAGAATAACTAAAGATAATAGAAAAGAAAAATCCTCACAGCATTTTGAATCTCCAAAAATAATGTAATGTAGTTATCTAAATTTAAAAGCATTCATTCTCATTTATTGTTTCTGTTTTTATATTTACTTTCTAATACTCACAGAGTATGATAAAATATACCCACTAGGTTGGGATGATGAATGTAAACAGGCAACAATTTAAGGCTAATACTGTGGTGATTCATTCTGCCTAATGAGATGTCTTCTTCTAATTCCTGTAATACTTACTGATAAACATTCTGAAAACCATCTGAGCTTTTTCAAGCGAGGATTGCACGTTAGTTTTTCTACTTCTTGCTTAATATCCCGTGACACTTTTCCACACAGCAGAGGAGGCGTGCCTTGCTTTATAGCAGTATCTGAGGAAAAGACATGAATCAGTGAGTAAATTTTTCTTAGAAAATAATAGTTAAAGTAAAATCAAATGCATGCACATATTCAATACCAGTGTTCCCGATAATTTCTTCCCAAGATGTGTCTGCCAGAATATTTATTTGTAAAGGGGTGATTAAAGGTATTAATGACCAGAGTCTCACTGTAGAATCACGAGAGCAGGAAGCCATAGTGAAGGGACGGCTTGGATGGGAAGTTAAACCTGATGGGAAAAAATAAGTCCTTTTTAACAAAAGCAAACATGGAAAATGCTTTTTTAATTTGTTTATGTATTTCATTAAACTTTGAATTGAAGGAATGAAGAAATGTAAATAACTGAAAGATTCACATTCTGCCTTGTATTTGCACTTAACATAAGAATGTAATAAATTACTTAACATATTGTGTAAACTGGATATAAATGTAAGATTATTAGAAAGCATATATTTCTGAGTGAAGATATCAAAATGACATTTCATTTGGTTAAGCAGTAAATATAATTCCAGGAGGGTACAGGAAATCTAAGAATTAACGAGCACGTAGATGAAAGTTCTAGTTTCAATATGAAGAGCTGGAGACTTTTCAGTTTAGAACATCAAAGAGTAAAAGAATTCTCTCTTACAGTAAGGCCCACACTGGCTCAATGACAAGGCTATGGAGGGAAAGCATGTGGATGTGGATGTGGATATGGATACACACATCTAGGATGCTTTCTCTAGGGAACATATTAAATTCCTAATCCAACTACTTACTCCCACCAGTGCTTGAGAATGAAAGAAAATACAAATGGGAATAAAATTAAAGGTACAAGTTCAGCAACCTGGTTTCAATACCTACTTTAATTGTACTAAAAATTATTACCGTATTAAAAATAAAACATTGCCCTTAATACCCTAAAATATGGCAATGGGTAGATAAGTTATATCTATGCTAAAATTAGTTTCATGTTCTGTAATTTCCTCTGGAGTGACAAAATCCAACCTGTACAGTATATAGGTCACATGTGAATGTTCACACTCTGCACAGAAACATAGCAATAAAATGAACACCTCAGTGTTTGGAAGAGTCATCACCTGATCATTTCCAATGAATTATTTGGTTATTTTTTGTGATCCTGATAGTTTAACAGTGAACGTGTATTTTTCCAATGTGAAAAATACTATTTCAAACTGAAACATGACTTATTTAAAAATATTACATTACTCAAAAAATATCGGCTTCATAATTCCATCAAAATAACAAATACATGAAAAGCAGTTTACCATACACATCTGCACCGTGATCATACACAGTGTCCAAGCAAGTTCCTCCCCGAGTATCCCATACTTTGATGGTATAGTCCCAGCTTCCAGAGATCAGTAGATATGGAATCTCAGTATTCCACATTAATCCCCTCACGGGTGCAGTGTGTCCACTAAGAATATTTATGCAAGCATCTTGAGTATAATCCCAGATTCGTACAGAACTGAAAATACAATATCAGGTATGCATTATAATTTATCCAAAGCACTAACATTTTCTCAGTTGGGCACAATTGTTATTTCTTACCACATTTAAGGATCATTTTATGTTCCAAACATTTTTTATTTTATTTATTATTTTCATTTTTTTTATGTGTATGAGTGTATTGCCTGCATGCACATGAGTGCACCCCTGTGTTGCAATGCCAAGGCGTTCAGAAGAGGGCTTCGGATTCCTCTGGAACTGGAGTTAAGGATGGTTCATAGCCACCATGTGAGTGCTGGGAATCAAACTCTGGTCCTCTGCAAGAGCAGTCAGTGCTTTTAACTGCTGAGGCATCTCTCCGGCCCTGAAATATTGTGTTTACTTTTATTTTATGTGTACGTGTGTATTTCCTGCATGTAGGTAAGTGCACCCATGTCATGCAATGCCATGGAGGACAGAAGAGGCTATTGGATCCCCTGGAACTGGAGTTATGGACAGTTGTTAGCTGCCATGTGGGTGCTGGGATTCAAACCTGGGTCTTCTGCAAGAACAGCCAGTGTTCTTAACTGCTGAGCCATCTCCCCAGCCCTAGGTTCCACACATTTATGTCAGAGCTATCTATTCCAATACTGTTTTTCATAATTTTCACTGGTAATTTATTACTGCTAACAAATACAGTGTTTTAAAATTTACAGATTCAAGCATGACTTTCTTATAAGAAAATACTTAGAGCAAATATAATCAAAGCTAAATTATTATTGATAACACAACAGCAATTTAAGTGCAGTCAAATTATTTGTATAGCATAAAATATGAGATGTATTACATATTATTTGAAAAGATATCCTATTTATGTTTTTAATACCATAATTTCTTCATGTTTTTATCAGTAAAATAATTTAATTGCCAAGTAGAATCAATCTCAAATAAAGGGAAAAATTAAATATAATTGGTCTCAAGGAATTACTCAGTCTACCAATTTTATATAAAGTATAACTATAATACTATTTAAAGCACAATTTAGACTAAAAATTAGCTGAAGACATCCAAAGTGTCGATTTCATTCAGGTAATTTATAACTTTTAGTAACAAACTTATACCAACAAAACAATAGAAGAACTTTGCTATGTCAAAGTTTATATTGTACTGTGAGACACAGCTCTTTCTGTTTTACATACAAGACTCACATTTGTTTCCTCATTTTCCTACTGTGGACAATATAATCACTCCTCCATAATAGTGAATTCTGAATCCAAAGATTTAATCAAAGATTATGAATATAAAAATCTGTCCTGAACATATATAGACTTGTTCTTTGACATTATCCTAAACCATAGAATATAGCAATGTTTTTCATAGTCTTTACATTGTACTAGGTATTAATTTATCTAATTTATGGTGCATGGGAGAATATATATAGGTTACATGAAATACTATGTGAATGTATAATAATGGCCTTAGGCTTCCAATAGGTTTGGTATTCATATGGGAGCTTGTAAAAAACATTATTGGCTATCAGTGGATGACTGTATGTCCAAATATAATTTTTGGTGTGAATTTTTCAGCCACTCCGTAAGTGGCTTCCGTTTTCTGCCATGCTTTCATAACTGAGAACATATTACTGCACTTTATGTCAAAATACTATAATGTTATTGTACAGGCCACTGGAATACATGCTCCCCTTTTTATGACTCAGGCTTTGAAGTCACAATATATTTTTTGCCAAAAATAAGAAAGGTTTAAATATGAACCACTATACGTGAGGACTAACTTGGGTTACCATAGGTTCCTCTACTAATTACATTGGTAAATGATAGTTTCTTTGAAAATATTACTTTTATTTAAAGGTGAAAAATAAGATCAGTAAAATGCTTCACATTTTTTGAAAATATTTCCTATGCTAACATCTATGGTGAGGGACTGGAATGATCCCATCAATGACAGAATATTCACCGTTACATAATATCCACTTGAAAGTCATATTCCCAATTATTTTCCTATTATTTTCCCCGAAAATGAAATTGAAAATCATTAACTATTCACATGAACCTGTGGTTACTATGCACTATGACTTAAAAAAAAAATGTATGTGTTTGAGTGTTTTGTCTGAATATATGTAGGTGCACCACATGCATGCAGTGCCCTGTGGCAGCCAGAAGTGGGTGACAGATGCCCTGGAACTGGAGTTAGGTTGGTTGTTAAGTGCCATGTAGGTGGGGGGAACTGAACAGCCAGTACTCTCAACTGCTGAGTCATCTTTCCAGCCACTGCACTATGACTTTTAATTGTACAAAGTAAGATTTTCTTTATCTAAGTTTATCCCATCTACAAATGATGAAACAAATTACATAAGTAACTTTAAAAATATAAAGCATACACCATCCTCAGGCCTCTTGGGGTAAGTCTATAGCGCAGCTCTCCGCGCCGGGACTCCCTAAGCCACATTCACCCTTCCATCTCTCCCCCCTTTCTAAACTCCTAGTCTGGGCCCTGTGCCATTCCTAGTCTTGGGGCCCCAGACACCTGTGGAACCAATACTGCTTCCTGATCCTTCTCACCCAGACCAACTCAGTCCCTTTCTTGGGCTCCAGGAGCACTGCTTCTGGTCCTGGCCCCGCGCTCACCTCTCTCTGCTTCTCTGGGCCTGCACCACTGGCTAACTCTCCTATCCTTAGGCCTCTTGGGGTAAGTCTATAGCGCAGCCCTCCGCTGGGACTCCCTAAGCCACATTCAGCCTTCCATCCCCTCGCCGTTCTATACTCCTAGTTTGGGCCCTGCGCCATTCCTAGGCTTGGGGCCCCAGACACCTGGGGAACCAATACTGCTTCCTGACCCTTCTCACCCAGACCAACTCAGTGCCTTTCTTGGGCTCCAGGAGCACTGCTTCTGGTCCTGGCCCCGCCCTCACCTCCCTCTACTTCCCAGGTCCTGGAACACCCGCCAGCCTCTTTCTGGGGCTGACAGCCTCTTTCTGGGGCTCCGAGGCTTACCTTTACTCTCCCTGATCCTTTGCATCCAGTACAACCCAGCTACTCAATCCACTCCCTGGGAAATCTTGGGGCTTCTTCCCTCCCCATCTGCCTTTGCATCCCTGCGTGGCCGCGGTCAGGGTCTCAGGTCAATCCAACACCCAAGTTCCTGAGGCCAAAAGCATTCTTAGAAGATTCCAGACCTAAGGAGAAAGCCTGAAAACTTCTGATCCACATTGGAATTGGGCCACTGCAGAACTCCTGAAGACAAAATCAATCCGGCCACGACAATATAAAATCAAAAAAGAGAACTAGAAGCTTAGACGAGCCAGCTCTTCATACCAAAAAAGTAAACCACAAAGACACATAAAGCTCAAAAAAAAAAAAGAAGCAGAACTAAACTTGAAGTCCCGAGTATCACACAAGAGTCAGAAATTACAAGAAATTCACATGTCAAAATCACAGAGAAAGAATAATAACATGAAAAACCAAAATAACATATCCCACCAAACACCAACTGTCCTCTAGAGGAGTATAATGAGAA